ATAGAAAGTACAAAGGGGTGCTGCACCCTGTGATTGCTCACCGCCTGCCCACTGATACCCTGCCCCTTCCCAGCCGGCGATCCCCAAAAACCGAGACCCCGCAATCGCAGTCCCAGATGCAAGAGAGAACCTCCTGCTTCCCAGCCGCCCCTCCTTGACACCCTGAGCACGACGTTACAGCATACCCGATACACCACTGGCTACGTGGGTGCTCTGGCTCTGCCCCCTCCCAGCTTCCTGCACACCTGCACCTGGACAGGACGTCAGGAACTGGAGAGACCTTGATCCCTTACAACAATCCCTGTGTTATCAGCATTCTCCTCATAGCAAATCCCCTGCTGAATCCAAAACACAGCGCTATTCTAGCTACTAAGAACAAAAATAACTCCTCCCAGCTGAAACCAGGACAGGCTCCACCCCTTATGTTACACCATTTATATACCTTTTACGTTACGCTCAGGTTTCCAAGACATTCTAAGGAATCTCCATCCCATTCCCTGCTCTCAAATGTCTCCCCACAGATCTCATTCCCTACGTCTGTGGGCCATCCCTCCAAAATGTGCAGTGAGATCATTTAGTCCAGAACTTCAGCTTCCATCTCTCATGGCAGTCTTTGCAGGCAGGAGGGATGAGGCAGAGTTGGCTCCGTCAGTGGAGCGGGTGACCTCGGGCTCAGCGGGACGATGACGTGAAGTCTCTGCCACAAGTGGAGCTGGTGCTTCTGGTGCGGTCCCTGCTCACGGTCTGCAGGGCGAAGGTGTCATCTGCAGGGCGCTGCTGGGCACCAGGTGCTGCCATCAGTGCTGACCCTGCCAAAGTTCATCTTTTCTGTTCATGGGATGTCATTAGTGTAATATCTATCAACCAGAGTGATGACGCGATACAATAACAGGCTTATCATAGAATCACAGAATCCTTCAGGTTGGAAAAGCCCCTCGGGATCATCGTGTCCAACCCTCAGCCCGACTCTACAAAGTCAGCCACGACTCCAGGTAAATCATGGACAGCAGCTTGGCGAGCACATCTGCCGACTCCCTCGGCACCCTTGGGTGTAACCCACCCGCTCCCACAGCCGTGTGTGCATCCACGCGGTGCAGCAGG